AAGGTTAGGGTGTGGGGGTTAAAGGTTAGGGTGGGGGTTGAAGGTTAGGGTGGGGTTGAAGGTTAGGGTGGGGGTTGAAGGTTAGGGTGTGGGGGTTGAAGGTTAGGGTGTGGGGGTTGAAGGTTAGGGTGGGGTTGAAGGTTAGGGTGTGGGGGTTGAAGGTGGTCACAGAGTAGGGTGAAGGTAGCTGTATGAGGGTTAAGATCATGGAGTAGGGAGAGGGTTATGGAGTGTCATTGGCGATTGAATATTGTATTGATTACTGCCCAGATTAGGCATTAACTGTGTTGGCGATTGAATAATACTGGTGATTGAATATTGTATTGATTGTACTTACGATGAACGATGGTGTATTGGCAAATAAAGGCGAACACTGGCTAACTTACTAACACGTAGAAACTTTCTCTTGTTTGAATACTAACTTGGTTTAATAATCACTAATATAAAGTAAGTAATAATACTAATATTATATGAGCTCATTCTTCATGCATGACGTTGGTATGGGAATATATAATAATACTAATATTTTGTACTATCTTGTTTTTTGTCCAGTGTTACTTTATTTGTTTTATGTTTCATCTTCCATTTGTATATTTTCTTTTTCTGTTATAACTCTTGATTCTAGGTATTTTATGTAAGAAATTGGGTAAACAGCATGCATATTAAATTTAACAAAGAATACACATATAGGCATGTATGCATGTCTGTCTGTGCAGTTTACCAAAGCTTTTAGAATTAGTTACTTATTTTACTTTATCATTATTAATATTGTAAATTATTTATGCGCTTTACTCAGTGCTTTTCTTTTGACGAACTCATTTTTCAGTGACAACTACATCTAAGTGAATACGTCTGCGATTTTATGACTGGTGAGTTATTTTGCTGTATCTATCGTCAGTTATACACACTGTACACTGTACGTACAGTACATACAGACTCACTGTCAGTCTTCAGCACCTTTGCAGTGCCTAATCAAGATTAATGTAAAATACGCTAGCGGGTAGGACTCGCATGTTGTTACGTCAGTTGTTAAAACAGATTGGTGTGAAGACTGATTGATACTGAATCGAAATTTTGCGGTTAGGAGTGTGGGAACGATAGCTGATCTAAAATGTAGATTGTGCTCCAGTTGCGCGTAATCGAATGTAAATCTTGCAGCTGCTGCCTCATCGAACACGTGCGCACAGGGCTGTAGTTATTGGGCTGGGGGGAGGGGCAACTCAAGAAAAAATAGATATATAATACATGGTCAATGGCGGTCACTTTCCCAGAACACACCACGCACGTGGCTTAGCAAGGCTTTGACTGCCCCCTGTCCCTCCTCCCCAGGTAAAATGGGTTTGCTTGACTAGTGGTATATTAGTATGCCCCCTTCCCGCTCCCCAGGGTGAAAAAGGGTTAGCTAGACTAGTGGTATATTATAGTATGCCCCCCTTCGCCCTGTCCATATAAAAAAGGGTTAGCTACACTACTGGTATATTAGTATGCCCCCCTTCCCCCCTCCCCAGATAAAAGGGGTTAGCTAGACTAGTGGTATATTAGTATGCCCCCCTTTCTTGTTAGCTAGACTAGTGGTATATTAGTATGCCCCCCTTTCTTTTCTCCAGGTAAAAGGGGTTAGCTAGACTAGTGGTATATTAGTATGCCCCCCTTCTCAGGTAAAAAGGGTTGGTTACACTACTGGTATATTAGTATGCCCCTCCTCCCTGTAAAAGTGGTTAGCTACGCTCATGGTATATTAGAAGCCACCTAAGAAGTCTGTTCCGCGTACGATTCTCTCTCGTTGTTCGCCTCGGATGTTTTGACGCCCGCGTTCGTTTTACGTTATTGTATTGATTGTTATTGTATTATACAAAATTGACGATGACCGTCGTCAGCATTTGCTGCGATCCGCCTAACGCGCCGAATCGTTTTCTTTCCACCGGGGCAGCGTCGCTGGATCGATGAGCGAAAATCTGTGATTGAACGCCTGATGATGGTCACGGATGAAGGTCGCACACGAAGATCATCGATGAAGGTCACCGACGGAGGTCACCAACAAAGGTCACAGACGAAGGTCACCGAAGAAGGGTCTGCGTGTTCCGAACATTCAGCGAGGGCAGCTGGACCGAAGTCTGTGTGTGTACGCTCGCTTTATTTCACGATCTATCGATGAAAGTCCTCATCACCAGGATTGTATTGTAAACGTCTCGAATCTCACGCAGACGGATAATTTGGATGTCGCTGCGTCGATGTCGATCGGACGCATTTTCTTTCCACTTTGATCGCACATTTTCTTTGGACTGTGAGCACATCTTTTTCGTATATTCTTTGAATTTTTGTTCGTTCAACTTTAGAACGCATAAATTCCTTTTGTGTTTAGATTTTGTGCCGCAGCTTTCAAGCCCACGCCAATTTTGGTTCGCGGCTGTTATTCCATTACAAGAGGTCGGAGGGCAAAAGCCTGTGATACTTCAAATCGTATGTGTGGCGCCACCTATCTGTGGCTGTGGTTTCGTCAACGAGTTTATATTTTTAATCGGCTGTCCAGCGATTCTCACCTGGCACATGCACCATGTATTGTTACCGCGAAGTTTTATTATTTTCTCATTTGTAATTATTTTATTATTTCGTTTCAAGCTCTGATATTCTCTCGTGATAGTGATAGTTTACACTGACCGTCGTCAGCATTTGCTGCGATCCGCCTAACGCGCCGAATCGTTTTCTTTCCACCGGGGCAGCGTCGCTGGATCGATGAGCGAAAATCTGTGATTGAACGCCTGATGATGGTCACGGATGAAGGTCGCACACGAAGATCATCGATGAAGGTCACCGACGGAGGTCACCAACAAAGGTCACAGATGAAGGTCACCGAAGAAGGGTCTGCGTGTTCCGAACATTCAGCGAGGGCAGCTGGACCGAAGTCTGTGTGTGTACGCTCGCTTTATTTCACGATCTATCGATGAAAGTCCTCATCACCAGGATTGTATTGTAAACGTCTCGAATCTCACGCAGACGGATAATTTGGATGTCGCTGCGTCGATGTCGATCGGACGCATTTTCTTTCCACTTTGATCGCACATTTTCTTTGGACTGTGAGCACATCTTTTTCGTATATTCTTTGAATTTTTGTTCGTTCAACTTTAGAACGCATAAATTCCTTTTGTGTTTAGATTTTGTGCCGCAGCTTTCAAGCCCACGCCAATTTTGGTTCGCGGCTGTTATTCCATTACAAGAGGTCGGAGGGCAAAAGCCTGTGATACTTCAAATCGTATGTGTGGCGCCACCTATCTGTGGCTGTGGTTTCGTCAACGAGTTTATATTTTTAATCGGCTGTCCAGCGATTCTCACCTGGCACATGCACCATGTATTGTTACCGCGAAGTTTTATTATTTTCTCATTTGTAATTATTTTATTATTTCGTTTCAAGCTCTGATATTCTCTCGTTATAGTGATAGTTTACACATGTGTAGGGGTTAGGTGAATGTGTTTCCATTTACACGCTACGTCCTTTCCTAACATTTTATATTCGTGGTCACAAAAGAGTCTGGGATTTTTTCGTGTTTTCTTATTCTTGTTTTTGACGAGTCCAGTGTAAATGTGATGACTGGAACATCTCGATTCTCACTAATATGGCACTGCAGAGAAAAAAGAAAGAAACCGCATGGAAGTTTGAAACTTTCATTTGTGAGGGAGAAAAATTATCTCAAGCATTTTTCTCATTTCTTTAGTTTTTACCCATTCGCTTGTTGCTCACACAATCTCTTGCAATATCGTATATCAGTTTTGCTTAATTAATACTGATTTCAAACATTTTGTAATATAACTTTTATATATGAAGTTTATTAATTTAATATAACCAATGGATTTAATTTCCCTTTTTCATTTTAACATAAGATAATCACGTTTATCGTCTCCGAGTTGGTCGATATCACAAGTTTATTGATTCTGGTGTTCAAGGAAACTCGCACTGACATAAAATCCAATTTTATTTTATAGTATTTCAGAGGAAACTTGGAAAAATTAAGACATGAAATTCTTTACGTGTGTGAGAACGGATATTTCCCCAACTTCTGTTCAAATGTCTTTATTTTCCCGTTCACTCGGCGAAGTGAATCGATGCTCGACGATATCACATGTGTTGACTTTATTGTAATATATCATGTCGCGGTCCCGGGTGAAGGTGTAATAAAAATTTATCGGCCATTGTTACCATTGACATCGAATTTAATGATTTTTTTTCCTTTCTGGTTCATATATATAGTCTTCTGTTTAGTAGGTTGCTAGTAGTATAAAGGCCACTGCAGCGACAGCGACCGACCGTAACGACAAACGACTTTTCAGAAAATTAGAAACTATTGTTTCCTATGAGCCATTGCACACACACGCGACAACGACCGGCGACAACCTCGACGACAAAAATATTTAGGAACGTTTCTAATTTCCAGCGACACTTTACAAATAGCCAATCGCAGCTGTTTCCATCGGCACGTGACATTACGATTATGTCATAAATAACCAATAATGCTAGCCAAGACGTAGACTGGTCTCCGGCGCTAAACTCGCGCCGCAATAACCCTGAATAGCCGAACGAGTACAGCACGTACGTCACAGCTGAAAGGTCGATGGATCGGATCCCATCCTTTTTTTAATTATTTTCCTGTTTTCTGTATTTTTCTATCTTTATCCATTTAACAATGTTTACATGATTATAGCAAATATTTACATGATTTATTTACAACAATTTAATAACAAGCATTAATTTGTACAACAATTAAACATTTAATTTTTTTAATTTTTTTAAATGGCATGCGGGGGAAGGGGAGGGAGGTCGGGGAGGCGGCGGGGCAGGCGATGAGGAGGCCGTGCAAAATTAGCACGGAGCATTCGTTTGTTTGAGAGACTTTTTCATCGCTGCGTACGGTTTTTTCGTCGTTCTTCTGAGCATTGGTTAACGCGGACTGTAGTTGTTTGGGGGCTTTCACGCAGATTTGTACGGTGATAGTAGACGCGTTTCTAGTCATTTTTGTTCGCGCGTGGTGCTAGTAGATAGAATATACTCAACGTTATTGCTGCTAAAGGCGTTGTATTCCCCAGCACTATATATTAATACAGGGAGAATATCTTATATTGATATCGTAGTATCTATATCTATTAAATTATATCTCTGACTCGTATATGCATATATCTATATCTATATCTATATCTATTTATATCATAGCTATATATGTATCAAGGGTGAATAATGACAGATCTATTATCACAGATCATTATTAACCTCTGGTGTGGTGGCCGTGGTACGACGTATATGTATGCATGTTGCGGGGGGGGCGGCAAGGGTTATTTACAGGATGCAGGTTTGGTCCATATTAGTTATCTGGGAATTAGGAAATACCGGATCAATTTGTTCGTGATTCGAGAATAGAAGTCACCTGGGAGGCGGAGAAGCCGAAATTGCAAACGTCTTCAACTAGGAACGTATAAAAGAAGTGGGAAAACTGACAACGAATCTCCTCCTGTCTTCTTCTATATTGATATTTTCACATTATTGCTAACGCTAGATAATACACTAACAGGCTACATAGTACACTAATTACTAATGCTGAGAGGGTCTATGTCCCCCCAGGTTACTGACGGAAACGTACCCTGGTACGGTCCGGCATATACCGGAACATCCTGGTAAACTATCTAGAGACTGATATGTTAGGGCTTAGGGTTAGGGAGTAGGCGTAGGCGACCTCTAGACTGGTCTAGTGTGAAGTAGTTCAGTAATATACTATTCTAATTGCCGGGGACCGGTACCTCGCCTTACTCATAACGAGTCTAGGGGTCGCTACGCCTATTCCCTAACCTAACCCTACCCATATCAGTTAGATAGTTACCAGGGTACGTTCCGGCAGTACCCTGGGGGACATAGACCCTATGAGCAATACTAATGTCTTTTACATTGAATCCAGAGCATGGATTTCTTCAATTCTTTCCTCGTTTTATATGTCGTCGCTTGTTATTCATAAGGAGGTATCTCGCTGATTGTCTACATTGTTGAGTATTTATGAGGAGCTTGTCTTTCAGCTTCTCTTTTTAATAGATCTCAAACTCTGTATTATTAGCTTGATAGCATTTTCGTGTGTCGTATTAACTCTATTTTCTATTCTCCTCTGTATGGGGGGGTCACTTTTACGATACTGTAATACATCCATACGGAAGTTTGGAATTTTCAACGAATTTATACTTGTAACTCTTGTTTATAACGTGTTTGTTTGGTCGGATTGACGGATCTCGATCCACTGGAATCGTGGATCTGACTATTTGTTTGGTCGGATCTACGGATCTCCGCGACTCCCTTGAACCGACCTTCTAGGGAGTGTGAATTCGAACGGATCCAATTATGCAGCCCGTGCTCATTCAATCCAGGCTTGTTACTTTTGAACCTTCCCGTGATAGTTAGAGTGTAAAGCGAAAACCGATTCAAAAGCTAAAAGTTTGTACATTTGTTTTTTGGTTAGGTTCCTCTAGTGGATCGAGATCCGTGGATCCGACCAAACAAACACGCCCTTAAACTCCCGACTCTGTTTGTAATGAATGTTCTATTGCTGTGCTTTCTTGTGTGCTATGTATTGGCGCGGCCGACAACGAATTTATACTTCTAACTATAGTTCCACCCTGATTTTTAACGTGTACGCGTGCACTCTGTATTCGGGCATGAATATCGGGGGTAGTAGCGATCGAATCGTTTCTGTATCTAGTGCTTCACATCACAACGTATTCTACTAACGATGGCGAAGCACAGGGACAAAAATCGCGGTCTGGTTAAAGGTTAAAGGGAGTGAAGCGTTTTTAAAGGTTAGGGAGTGAAGGTTAAAGGTTAGGGAGTGAAGGTTAAAGGTTAGGGAGTGAAGGTTAAAGGTTAGGGTGGGGGTTAAGATTAGTGGAGTTAAAGTTTAGGGTTGGGGGTTAAAGGTGGTTGGGGGTGAAGGTTAGGGGGGGTTAAGGTTAGGGGGCTTTGAAGGTTAGGGTGCGGGGGTTGAAGGTTAGGGTGTGGGGGTTAAGGTTAGGTGGGGGTTGAGGTTAGGGTGGGGTGAAGTAGGTTGTGGCCGGTTTGTAGGTTAGGGTGTGCGGGGTTAAAAGGTTGGGTGGGGGGTTGAAGGTTAGCGGTGGGGTTGAGGTTAGGTTGAGGTTAGGGTGTGCGGGGTTGAGGTTAGGGAGTGGGGGTTGAAGTTAGGAGTGGGGGTTGAAGGGATAGGGCTGTGGGGGTTGTGGTTAGGGTGTGGGGTTGAGGTTAGGGTGGGGGTTAAAGGTTAGGGTGTGGGGCGTTAAAGGTCTAGGGTGGGGGGGGTTGGGTTGGGGGTTGAGGTTAAGTGGTGGGGGGGGTTTGAAGGTTAGGGTTGAAGTATGGTAGGGTGTGGGGTTGAAGGTTAATTTGGGGGGGGGGTGGTTGAAGCTTACGTGTGGGTTGTTGAGGTGGTCCAGGAGTAGGGTGAAGGTAGCTGTATGAGGGTTAAGATCAATGGAGTAGGGAGAAGGTTTATGGAAGTGTCATGAGCGTATTGAATATTGTATTGATTTACTGCAGATTAGCATAAACTGTGTTGGCGATGATAATAGCTGGTGATTGATATTGTGGATTGATTGTAGCTACGATGAACGATGGTGTATTGGCAAATAAAGCGCGAACACTGGTAATTACTAACACGTTAGAAACTTTTCTTGTTTGAATATAACCTGGTTTTATAATGCAACTAATATAAAGTAAGTAATATACTAATACTATATGAGCTCATTTTCATGACATGACGTTGGTAGGGAATATATAATAATACTATATTTTGTATATCTTGTTTTTTGTCAGGGTTACTTTTATTGTTTTTATTGTTTCATTCTTTCAGTTTGTTATATGTCTTTTTCTTATATAAAATCTTGATTTAGGTATTTTATGTTGAGAAATTGGGTAACAGCATGGCTTATTAAAATTTTACAAAGAAATAACATATAGGCATGTATGGCATGGTATTGTCTGTGCAGTTTACAAAGCTTTTAGATTAAGGTTACTTATTTTACTTTTTATCATTATTATATTAACTGGTTAATTTATTTATGCGCTTTACTCAGTGCTGTTCTTTTTGACGTAACTTTATTTTTCAGTGACAATGAGCATCCTAAGTGAATACGTCTGCGATTTTTATGGGACTGGTGAGTTATTTTGCTGTATCTTCGTCAGTTATACACACTGTACACTGTACGTACAGTAATACAGATCACTTGTCAGTCTTCAGCACTTTGAGTGCTATCAGTATTAAGTGTAATACGCTAGCGGGTGACTCGCATTGTTGTTAGTCAGTGTTGTTAAAAACAGTATTGGTGTGAAAAGGATGATTGATACTGAATGAAATTTTGCGGTTAGGGATGTGTGGGAACCGATAGCTGATCTAAATGTAGATTTGTGTTCAGTTGCGGCGTATCGATGTAATCTTGCAGCTGCTGCTATCGACAGCGGTTGCGCACAAAATAGGGCTTTTTGTTTTATTTTTTTAGGTTTTTCAATTGGGCTGGGGGGAGGGGCAATTCAAGAAAAAATTGATATGAATCAATTACATGGTTCAATTGGCGGTCACTTTGCAGACACACACGCAGTGGCTTAGAAGGCTTTTGACTGCCCGCCCTGTCTCTTCCTCCCAGGTTAAAATGGGTTTGCTTGATAGTGGTATATTTAGGTTATGCCTTCCCAGTCCCAGGGTGAAAAAAGGGTTAGCTAAGTACTAGTGGGTTTAATAGTGTGCCCTTCGCCCTGTACCATATAAAAAGGGTTTAAGCTTACACTAGTGGTATATTAGCTATCCCCCGCCCCTTTTTTTCTCTAGGTAAAGGGGTTAGCTAGACTAGTGGTATCATAGTATTGCCCCCCTTCTCCAGGTAAAAAGGCGTTGGTACGAGCTACTGGTAATTAGTATTGCCCCTCCTCCATTGGAAAGTGGTTAGCTACGTCATGGTATATTAGAAGCCACCCTAAGAAAGTCTGTTCTTAGCCGTTACGATTCTCTCTCGTCGTTCGGCCTCGGATGTTTTGATGCCGCGGGAGAGAGAGAGAGAGAGAGAGAGAGGGGGGATGAGACAGGAACCTTCATCTCTCATGCTCGCGCTCACGCGTCTCGTGCGTCTCAGGTCCCGAGATGCTGAATCGCTCGGACGCCGAGCATCCGCCGGGAGCGAGACAGCTGGAGGAGCTGGCGAGACAGCGTGAGTTGAAGAAGGCGTTGCCGTCGACGACGACGACGACAGGGCAAGCGGACCCCAGCGGAGCGACGAGTGAGCTGAGCGGTGAGGCAATTTTTTTGCGGGTGGGGTTTTTTTGTGGGGTGGGCGGTTTTTTATATATTAGTGGGGGGTGGGTAGGTTTTTTATAATATTTGTGGGGTGGGGTGGGCGAGGGTTTTATTTTTATTTGTGGGGTGGGGTGGGCAGGGTTTTTTGTGGGTTGGGCATTTTTTTAAATATATTTGTGGGATGGGGTGGGGTGGGCAGTGGTTTTATTTTTATTTGTGGGGTGGGGTGGGGTTGGCAAGGTTTTTTGTGCGGTTGGCGGGTATTGACATCTTGCCCCAAGATTTTCCTTTGCGTGTAAGATTTCCCCTTGCTATGTAAGATTTCCCTTCCCTCACTACGCCGGGTGTGTTTCCTTTAAATGTTGATACTTTGCTAATGCTTCCCTTCCCTTCATTCCTTCCCGGTGTGTTTCGTCTAAATGTTGAATCTTCACTAAAGTATACCTTGCCGATGTGCCTTCCAGGTTCCGGGATTACTCCCGGCGACGCGTCCGTCGCCGCCGGCAACGCGTCTGGTTCCAGCGAGCCGGCCGGCGCAACATCTACGGCGGCGCCCCCTGGTCAACCCACCGTCTTGACAAACGAAACGACGACGACCAACGCCACGGCGACCGTCTCGCCGACCTCCGACCCCGGCATCTCGACGCGCGCCTCGAACGACACCGCACCGACCATCGCCACGGCAACGACGAACAACACGTCGGCCGCCGCCTCCTCAGCAGCGCCCCCTACGTCGTCGTCGTCGCGGGCGGCGGCGGCGGCGGCAACAGAGGGCGCCGCGGTCGGGCAGAACTTCGACGTTGCGAGCTTCGTCGGTGGAATCGTCCTCGCTCTCGGCTTTCTCGCGATCGCTTTCTTCGGATACAAGTTCTACAAGTCGCGGACGGAGCGCAATTACCAGACGTTGTAAGATTGGTTTTCGCGCAGCAACCGCGCGCGCGAGGGCGGGGCGAGGCATG